TCTTTCCCAATCATATTTAGTGCTGCATCAAATTTGATCTCTGCAGAGATATAAATTTATAATTTTGGGTTATGTATTTTCTGCTTTAACGACAGACAGTACAGAATTTATTTATTAATCATATATGGAGATAACCATAGTTAAAATTCGAGTCTTGTTATCATTGCTGCTCTGTGGAGGTGGAGTCGCGTTTAATGATCGTCGAGACAACGTCACGTCGCAGCCCTTTAAGCATATCGTGTAAAGTAAACTTGTTGTAAGACTCAACTCTGAACTTATTGCATAGTTGAGGCTCCATTTGGTTTTTTTTTTGTCTATGCCCACTCAGCTCTTGTACCAGGAACTCACACAGCACGTGCAGCAGAGAGGGAGACACACACACACACATCAAGCTAATTAAGCATACTTCAATAAAATAAAAAATAGGAGAAAAAAACCCACAAAAGCATCATAGAAAACGTGGGCCAAAAAGCACACATGAAGCTGGAGCTGGAGTTGGAGTTGGAGTTGAGGTTGGAGCTGGAGCACCCATAGAGCGTGGCACGCGATAATCAATCAAAAGCCATTAAAGCCAAACGGTTTTTCGAAAACAAAGCTGGCCCAAAAGACAATGAATCAAAGTAGAAAGCATTTCATCAGAAGTAACCAAAAGGAGTGGCAAAAATCATCTATATCTACGCACAGAGCATGCAGCATCGACGGCTGTCAAGACAAGTTAAAGATCAAAATCGAGAAAACAAGATCAATGGAGCACACGACGAGCACTCGGCTCTGCTTAGGCTAGACAGACAGTTGCAGTTGCAGATGATTGACGGAATTAGAATAATCGTATGAGATCGTGCGGGTACCGAGGAAAAATTATGATAACGTTTATTACTATTATTAAATGACCCAGTTAAGGCCCATTTAGGCCGTGCAAGTGAAAAGTGAAGGCGTTCCACACACACACACACACACACACACAGACAGTGAGCGAGAAGAATGTCACAAGAGCAGCGACGGCAGTCGATGTCGCTCAGACTTTGGCAAATGCAAATTTCAACTGCCTTGCAACTTTCTAAATGAAATTCCAATCGCATGCCGTCTCGCTCGCCAGCTGGCATGCCGTCTCGCTCGCACGCTGCATGTGTGCGCAAAATTAAAGAAATAATTTCAAGCGAAAATATACAAATTGATTGTCACCTGGCAGGCGAGCGACTTAAACCTTACGTTACCTTTATTTTTTTTCGCCAGCGCCTTGCTCTAAATCAAAGCACCTTTCTCCATTTATCGGCCCAGACACACTTAGCCATGGCTAATACGAATAAATTTGAGCCCAGTGCTAGCGCTTGGGCGCACACGTGTCAACGACACCCAAGCAACGTCATTGAGGCGGTGAGTGGGTGAGCTGGGAGGGGGCGAGGAAGCTGAAGACGAGGTCAGCTATTGGGCTCAATTAGAGCGACGCGTCCGCCAAATTGCTCGAGCACTTTTATTGTCGCCAGTTGGCGGCGTCTCTCGAGGATGCATATATATGTATATGTATATATATTTCAGTGCCTTGGCATTTTGTCGCGACGCCTGCAGTGTCTCTCAGCTCGCCAGCTGTCCAGGGTCTGGCTCGGTGCATGCATGCGTGCACCTTCCGCTCTTTGTTTCTCCTCCAATCAGTCACTCAATTGTGATCGTTCGCGTAATTGCCTTTGACAAGCTACGCAGCCAGCGATCCACCATTTGCAACGGCGAACTGCAACTGCAACTGCAACTGCAACTTCTTGTTGGCATTTTGTTTGACTTGGATTAAGTTTAAGTGCATGGCTTAAGATTCCCAGCATTGTTGACTAAACGTTCGGTCGCTCGCCCGATCGTTCGATCGCTGCACTCATCTGTATAGCCAATCCACCTCTATTATCATGTTAACCAGTCGCAACTATGGAGTCTCGGCAATCAATGTCAGCTGCTCCTCACAATATGAGTGCTATAAATTGCAT